CTGGATTTTGATCCAAATGCGATAACCACTGGATTTAAGAGTGTTATCGATAGAAATGGTGGTCACATATCCGCCGCCGAAGAGCTAGAGCTGATCCAATTTGCCAAAGAACTAATAGACATGGAAACATTTTGTTTTGCTTTTTAATATGATTTAATTATTTGTTTTATTAATAATAATTGCATTGAATTATTAATGATTATCACTTTTGTTTTGTATAACAATTTTTAATGTGATTGTATTTGTATTATAGTGTATTGGTTTTGATTTAATATTTGTATTTTAATTACTTAATCATTATGTTATTTTACAAAATTAAATGACTAATTATAATCTTTATTACAATTTATAAGATATTAATAATAAGGTTCTGTAATATTTTGTAAACTTGAAATTAAAAATAAATCTGATTGTACTCATGTATTATTATAATTAAAATAAACACTACATGACATTTATAATATTGTGTACCATTTTTAAAAATAGTGTATACACTCTTATATAATCAACAAGTTTGAAACATTTTAGTACCATTGTAACTATACTACAAACACATATAATTAACAATAAAACATTTTATAAAACTTATTGATCCCAAGGAAACATATCTGTAAGTTATATTAATTATAGACAAAGCAAGTTAAATATTTTATAATCATTAATACTCACTTTTGTATAGAATACTATTAAGTATTATAATAAGTGTAAAATAACATTATTACATGTGTGAATTAAATAAACATATTACATTAAAAGGTATACATAATTTTAGATAGTATACCTTTCTTAGAACACTTTCTAAATAACACTTATATATTTTGGCTAAATATCTAATGACCCTCCCTCTATAATATAGTATACCTTTCTCAACTGACTATCTATTAATAGTTTCTTTTACATTCAAAATAAATTTAATGGAAGCAATCAAATAAATTTTAACATGTTTAACATGTGTAATATTCAATAAACTAAACTAAAATATTGCAAAATACTATTAGACAAGTAGATTCAGCTCTATCCCGCAGGTATCCCGCTATCCCTTTATAATTTCATACATATTGAGAATTTTTGTCCCATGTTTGTAATATTATATAAGGGTAAGTGTATGCAAATAAGTATACTGTAGCAATCCTATAAGAACAAACAGCACTATAGTACTTTTATGTTTAATATTAGAATATAAATGATAATAATATTGATAGTGATGCTGGTACATTTCCTGAGCTTGTTTAGATTTTGCTAAAATTGTTTTCATTCAAATAAATTTTACTATAAATTGCATTTTATACTGTATTATAAAACTTGCTTCTGCAAATTACTATACATTCAATAATTGAATAAAACAATTATTGTTTTTAAATGTTTTATTGGTTAATGTATTATAAATATTTCTAATAGCATACAGAATAGTCATTAGATATTTTAAAAATAATACTTTGCATAATACAAATTCGTATAATGTATATTTAATACCAAATATGTGGGGAAAACTGAGGGGGAACACATAGGATTGTTATTAATGCGATTATATGTAATGTATTGTATAATTAATACATTAATTTGATTGATATAAATCAAAAGTCAAGCAATCTATTCGCACACAAACTAATTGCTCACTACTTTGTGTAACAGTCTTTATTTGGAGTAAAACTAATTGTAATCTCTAATAGTGTTTTAAATAGTTATTAATAACAGTATTATTATAATTATCAATAATTAATATATTAATTGTTGCGTTAAAGTCTATTACAAGTACAGAAGACAATGTGTAATAAATTGTTATTTTATTAAAAATAATTACTAGCTATATTAGTGGCATTTTTAATTAACAATTGTCAATTAACAATTGTTAATTAAAATTTAATTAAGTTTAATTTTCATTAATTTATTATTAACAAACATACAATATTTAATATTACTAAAATTAAAATTTATTGTAATTTGCTATTAGACCAAAACAAGCCAGGTGAGTTAGTGGCAAACAAGCGATATTTTGGTGAATTCCGGTGCCATAAGTGCCACCGGCACTGGTATTCGGCCGCGTGTTGGCTCGGATTTAAACAACGGTGCAATGGTTGTGATCAGTGGTCAGACCCATCAAACATGGTAAGCGAAATGATACTACGAATCTCACATAGGTTATTTTAATATTTAAATTTTTTCTCCGAGTGATAATTACAACTAAAATCCCTTAAACCCTGAGGCTTGTAAATTTCATTCAAAATCATTACAAATACTTACATTGTTAGAGTAGTATACTTATCCATATAGACTGAACAAATTTGCATATTTTAACTGGATTTAGCCGCCTGGAGAGCGCCGGGGCAGTCGCGGCCAGCAATGGCGGCCGTGACGTACCGATCGGCGCTTTAGTGT